AGGCTGCACCCCAGGCGAGGGTCGCCGGCCCCGCCACGCCGATCCACCCGTTCTCAGGTCGCGCTGAGCACCGCAGGCTGTCCTCCGCCACCGCTGGAGAGCACCGACCCCGCGTCTGGCCAAGCTGTAGCACAGAGAGGATAGTTCTTACAGAACTGCGTTATTCCCGGATCCCCGCAGCGCCGGTTCGGCACGCTGGGTGCCTGGCGTGGGTAAAGATACTTGCTATGCAACTTGTCGGAGGAGGTAGAGCAACTTCTTTACTTGTTCTTTTTTAGCGTCAGCGTGCTGACCTGCACACGTTTTTGACACGGTAAGATGACAAAGATGAGACATTGCGTCCTCGGGCACAAGAAGGGAAGGCACCGAGCAGGCGTGGCGAGGGAGGAAGGCTGGATGGGTGGTTTAATTTTACTTTGGCGTTCTCTGTTCATAAAGGCTGCCATGGGGACGAGCAATCCCTATGTAAATCGGAGCAGCCCTGGGGCCTCTCCTGGGAGCCTGGAGCTGCTGGGGTCCTGCAGCACAAGGACACCCCAGGCGCATCCCTGTCCTCTTGTCATCTGTCAGAGTTTCTTTCCCAGCTCGGGGCAAATTAATGTTTTTTGTGCGCTCCGTGGATTCGTCTGGGTGATGGCTGAACATGGCATTGCCATGCAGAATGTATGTAAAATATTTGCTTTGTACACGTAGCTGCTGCGGACGGCGAGGAGCTGTGCGAGCGGACCGGAGGGTTTGCTTCTCGTTGTCCGCGTTGGGAGGATGATGCAGTTTGTCACAGGTCCAGGTTTTAGTGGAGGCAAAGTGGGTGCCTTGCAGTGCTGCTTGGGTATCTTATCTCACCCTTTGATTTGCTTTTTTTTCAGTGCAAAGGTACTGTATATAATTTACCAGTAATACCTGTTTTAATAAGATGGGAGAGCTCCTTCACTTGCTCCAGCTGTGGATGTTGCCTTTCTTCTTGTTTCAGAAGCCTTCACTGTAGTCTTTGCTTAACCTGCTGTAGGGTGGCTTTTATTGCTAAAAACGAGCCCTGGGTTCTGCTGCGGCGTACGGCTCTTGGGGTGCACAGGGGTTTCGTTAGGGCTGCGTTCGTTTGCTTTCCAAACGTCAACATCTGTTTGCTGCCAGATGTTGGGAGGGTGCAGGGTTTGCATCCTCACTGGATATCCATAATGCAGAAATGTTATTAACAGATGTTTCTAACAGATGCAGACCCTTTCAGGACAATTTTTGCTGCGGTTTTGGTGTCTGCGAATAAAATAGAAAGGTGTAACTGGAACAAAACAATTTTATATGAAAAATGACACAACGCATTTATTTTCCACAGTTTTATGTGGAAACTAGTACGTGGCTAGTGTTGCGCAGAACCAGACTTCACAGAAGTCTTTAAAAGAAGTGTTCAGGTGTGCAGGCACAGCTCGTAGAGGGGAGGGAGGCTGAGGCTGTGATGCCTGTTGTGCTTGTGATCAGAGCAGTCGGATAACCCTGCTGCTGCCGCGAGGGGCTGCAAACCCCCCGCCTGGCCAGGGCCCAGCTGGGGCACGGGTTTGTTCAGGAATTGGACCTTACAGATGATTTACTCCACCAGTATGGATAGGGTTTTTTTCAGTCAGCTCCATTGCACTACTTACCATCTTGCTGTAAATAACGACAGAAGTTTGGACTACCAGAATGATGAGGAGTGTAACTTATTTTTTATGGAAGAACTTACACCGCCCCGTGTATGAGAGATGCAGGTAGACCCTATTCAGCCAGGTGCTGGCAGTTTGGTAGGACACGTCTGCTCAGACGGTTCCATCACTTTCTTTAGACCAAGTGACAAAGAGTCCTGGAGGTGGAGGTTGGAGTGTCCTTAGGGCGCTGGTGCCTCACCTCTGCCATGGCGTCGGTCATTTCTGTTCCCTTTTCAGCGCTGCTCTTCCTGGGTAAAGCGTGCAGAACATCCTCAGCAGCAGAAACCGGGATGGCTTCTGGGGGACAGCAGGTAACTGCTCCTTCCCAGGTGAAATAATGTGGGGCAGGTTCTGGCTGCCCAGGAAGGACCACGGAAACCCACCAGCGCATCTCCCAGGGACGCCCCAGGGGAAACGGCTTTCTGCCTCGGTTTCTAAACCTTAATCATGAGAAAAGTGACACAGACCTCTAGGATCATTGCGCTGAGCAGTGGAAACACCGTGAGTACACTGGAACTGAAGTACTCGTTTTTACCCTAAATATTTTATTTTATCCTAAATAATGCGTGGGCATAAGTTCACTGATGCCCCAGCTTATTGATGCCTGTCTGTGTCTAGTCCCTGGAGAAGAAATCCCAAGAAAAGAGTAATTGGAAAATGGGAAAATTATAGGAAACAGGTATTGCTCCCTCGTCAGATCTCCAGGAGGGGTTTCAGTACCCCAGGCCCTCCCTTCCCCGCTGTGCCTCTGCTCTCGGGGCCCCTTTTGTGTCGTGTCCCCACCTCTGTGTCCCTGTGACGAGCCCATGCTGGTGGAGCTGGCCGAGCCCAGCACCGTCCGGGGACGTGCCATGTGAAGCCAACCCCGGCCGCGGGCGCCGGGAGCCTCTCTCCTCCCTGCACCGTTCCAGCGGCGGTTCTGAGAGTTCTCCGCACCACTCCTCTCCCGTTACCCATTCGCGCCTGATGTGGCTCCAGGTGGGAGCAAAACTCACGGTGAAGTCGTGACACGCTCCCGGTTCCCAGCCCCATCATGCAGAGCTTGGAAGAAGCCAACAGGAGCTCTGGTTTGTCTCCACTACAGCCAGAATACAAGAGTTTTCTGTAGGTAACTATTTAAATACCTGTATTTTTTGTATGACAGATTTATACAGGCTGTGCCATTACTCGCTGTGAAAAGTCTACATTGCCTGGAAATTACTCTCCTTAAATTCCTTGCCATAAGGTTTTTTTTCTTATCTCGGTTGTGTTACGAAGTTTTGGAAGTTGCATATTTTTACGTGTCTCCATTGAATTCCACAGACTTCACTGGGAATTTTGTGTAGAAAACAACTGCCAGATCAGGTCCTGATGTTTCCTCTGTTGCCAATTCTTTATTACTCTACACCTTGCCAAAAAAAAAAAGAGAGTAAGAGTGCTAGAATAATAGCAAAAAGGCCAACAATACGAACTTGACATTGGACAGTGCTGAAATCCTGATGCCTTGGTAGGGTATTTTTAAAAAATTATTTCAGTGGAAATATATGTAAAGTATCTCTTTGTATTTTATGTTAATACATTTCTGTAATTTTATTGCATGAAAATTCTACCATGTCAGAGATTTAAGTTATGACAAGTTTGTGGTTCTGCAGATACTGCGAGAAGCCATTGCCTATGTGGAGTAATAAATGTGTATTTTTAACATCGCCAGGCATTTGTTGTCATTTCTAGGTTATCCATCTCTAGAAAAAACCCCATTGAATTGTATAAAAAGTGGATGTTGTAATTACATCTCTTGTTTTCCCATCACAGCCTGGAGCTGTTCATTATCCCCATGACACCAGCGGCTGGACCAGCCGGGA